TTTTATTTCCTCTTTGTACTTTGCTAGTTCTTTATTAACCTCCTCTATGTGAGTTGTCAATAAAGTTTCTCTTTTTAATATCCTTGCCTACGTTGGCCCTCGGTGTTCCTTGGAGTTGTTCACACATGAGTATTTTTTTGTAATACAGTATTGTATTACAAGAGTCTATTGTACCACTTTTATAAGTCTTTGTACAGTGTAACCCCCCCCCCCACCTCCCCACACACACTTTATGAGGATACTTCCTGTGACAGGAATAAAAGAAGCAATTTTGATGGCCATTCTATTACAATGTTGAGCTCTGCATCTAAAGAACCATGAGAAGCCTTTTACATCACATCAACATGGGGGCACTTTCATTCAGCCAACATCAGTCCAGCTGGAATTACATTAATAAATATGACACAGCATAAGGGTATCCATATACACGTATTGTCTTGCTTCTAAACATTCCACCTTAACATGCTCTTGTAAGAAATATATTATGGATGTTCACGAGTCAAGAGTGAAAGTACTGTACAGTACAGTACTTTGTTCCGTAAATCTGCTCTCTAAAAAGCCATCTCAAACTTATCACAAAAAATGCATAGTACTCCCTTGATATGTTGCTCATATTTCTTATAAATCAAATAAGTGATGGAAAGTACAAAATGCTGATTACATTTGTGGCTCATCACATAGAGTATTACTTGGCACACAAGCTTTGATGCTAAAGAAAGAGTACAATATACAGTTAATCAGCATGAAAGTCATGTACAATACAGTATATGAAAAATATATTGTAGCCACAGTGCCACCATATAAAAACATTTGCATCAAGAGCAACTAAGCAGCCTAAAATTAAGAGATCTACAATGGACACCTGCGATCCTCACACCAATAAATATGAAATATGCATCAAGGTGCCAAAACAACACACATCATGTTGTGATATGTCACGTAAAAGAATTAAAAATACGATGGTTCATATTCGGTAAATCACTTTTGTTACTTCGTGACTACTCTGGGAACATAAATAACTGTATCAGCACAGAACACACGTTCTTGTGCTAAATTATAAGCATACATGAGCATTAAAAAATAATGTACAATGGAACCTCGGTTTACGAATGTTTTAAGTGTACGAAGTTTGCCTCAGAATACGAGTGTTTGTTGATCATGTATGGGGTCGAGTGCCTGGACTCTGCTGGGCACAGGACGAGGCACGCTCAGTTTACCAGTGTATCTTGCCTAGTGACGATCGCACTTCAATTCTTTGTGAAGAATTTTATTGTTTTTCTGCTTTTTTTGGTTTCTAAAAGTTCTTATTATATATCATGCCATGGGTCCCAAGAAAGTCAGTGGTAAAGTTCAACCTAAGAAAATAGTTGCGAGGTTGACGATAGAGGAAAAACATGAGATCATTTGTAAACATGAAGATGGTATGCTGGATAGTATGCTATGTATGATTGTTGATCTAACTAGGCAGTACAACAAATCTATGTCAACGATATGCACAGTAATTGCTAAGAAAAAGGACATTATGAGTACTAAAGTGGCAAAAGGCGTAACAATAATCACGAAACAAAGAACACAAATACTTGAGGATGTTGAAAAGTTATTATTAATTTGGATAAACGACAAGCAGATAAAGCTGTAGCAGGCCGTTGCATTAATCTTTTTAATGAAAATGTAATGTCTCACTACAGACAAGTGTTAAATTGTAGGGAAAAACAAGTCTTTAGACAGATTCTTAGTAAGACAAGCAAGCAGTGAGCCACAACCACGTCCTCGTGGTATGCCTGCAAAATGTAGGAGGGAGAGTAACCCCAGAAATGTCATCACTGCCTGATGTTATAACTCCCCTTCCAAACACTGACACCTCTCCTCCTCCTCACTATCTATCATACTCCAACAAAGACTCCCCAATAAAGGTAAGGTATAGTAAAAAATCAGTAGTATTGTATAAAATGTATTTTAAATTAATATTTTTTGGGCGTGTGGAACGGATCAATTCAATTTACATTATTTCTTATGGGAAGATTCAGTTCGGTTTACAAATTTTTGGTGTACAAACCGTCTCTTGAAACTAATTAAATTCGTAAACCAAGGGTCCAATGTATATAGTCGTGTGCTTGGCTAATGTGTGGTTGTGTCCTGCACCCCAGACTGTCAACCATCTGCCACAAAGCTGGGAATACAGGTATAATACTCACACAATGTTGGCTCACCTATCTCAAATTTGAATATGCCATGGCTGTTTTTGAAGATATCAATAACACACATTAAAAGAAATATGACCCTACATGCTAGTCTTTATATGAACATAGTTTACTTACTTTTCTATTGATAAAAATAACAGGTATTTACAGAATTCACTTCCTGCTTAGCTACATTTAATATCCTTTTATATATTCTGGAGACTGCTCTTGGCCTGCAGGCCAAATATCAGAGGCTAAACAGTTTTCTGACCCTTATAAATCGCAGCAAATAAAAAAATCTTCAAGAAGAAATTGAATTGCGGTTCTTGTAAGGTAACTTGAAAAATCAAGTGTTGAATGTAATGCAGCGCACTTTTCTGGTGTGCCCCGGCAGCTCCCCGAGATTAGCTCTAGTACCACACACCAGGTCACACCTTAGCCAAACACACCAGGTCTCCAAGACCCATCCGTCACCTGCAGGGAGCCAGGACCATAACCTGGCTCACTCTATGAGGTGAGGGGGAATAAGTCAGAGATAAACAGGAAAACTCATTAGAAAACATATGTGCAACAAAGTAAAACAAGCATGAAGGAAAGTAGACATGCCTAGGTAAACAAATCAAATGATCTTTGCCAAGATGTAAAAATACCTGATCACTAAAAAGACAGCAGCCCAGGACAACTGAGATCTCAGCCAGCCTGTCCTCTCACCTGCTTGTGCAAAACTCTACGGGGAGGAGGAGATGGGGAACTAACGGGCTCCACCAGAAACGGGCACTTCATAACATTCAACACTTGATTTTTTGAGGGACCCCCTCAGTAGTTAGTTCCTCGACCTTACTCATGATGCCTCAATAATGCAAACCTCTTTTTCTGAAAAAGAAAAAGAAAAGAAAAGGGGGACTGGACCGATTTGTTGAAGAAGAGCAGAGTACCAGTCAGACCTGGAGGAACCAAACTGGGATGTTCCTTCAGGGAGCCACAAGGGGCTCTCCTCAGAAATGGAGGAATCGGCCTCTGACTTCTTGTTACCAACATTGTGCAATCAGGCGGCAGCCCAAGAAGATGGCTTTGCAAAAAACAAAGTCTAGTCCTAATCAACGGCACACACCCGCATGTAAGAAAAATAGCAATGAATGTAATATAAAGTCTCTTTCTGAGGGGCCTTGGTGGCTCTGTGTTGCTAGTTCCACTGAGATAGCTCTACACTCAGCCTGTCCTCCAGGCAAAGACCTAAAAGTGATTCCATGCACCCGCCAAACCTCCAGCTGTTTAGGAATGAAAAACGGTTTACACACGACTCACAACTGATGACGTTCGAACACTTCCAGAACAAGTGCTTCACTGACGAATTTTGTTCGAACCACAATGCTGTAAATGCTTTACCAACATACTACAAATACAAATAATCACCAACAGAACCTATGCCTATATATGCACAATAGCATATGCCTATATAAGCACAATATGCTATTATAATATTAATTTATATTTGAGAAAATTCCCATTTTGAATGAACAGCATGTACAAATTTATGAATGCGTCTGTGGGGTTGATCGCTGGATATAATGGACTTGAGTCGAGGAAGGGTTGCCACACCAGTAGTGCCACACCAGACTCATTAAAAGCCTAATGGGGACCAGAACTTGGCACCCCTTTAAAAGAGGCATAGTGGGCAGCTCACCATCACCAAGAAATCATGTCCACAGAAAGAAGTGAAGCAAAACAGAAAATAACAACAAGGTAAAAATATTAAAGTTAAGGAAACAAAACACTGCAAGTAATCCACCCACTAGTTCGGTCACACCACTACAGGTACCACTACCCACCACCAGGTGGCAATACCAATGGAGCTGCTGGCTCCTGTGTCAACAAATCTTTAGTCATAAGCCAAACAAAAGGCCACCAATGCATCGGGAAGAAAGGGAAGGCCCAGGGAACCACAAGTCCCCTCCCCTCAACCCATGAAAAAAAAAAAAAAAGAGGTGTTCCATTACATTCAACACACTTTTTCTGGACGACAACAATTGTAGCTTTCTGTTGCAACACCCTGTTGTTCTCATCCTGTTTGGCGAGAACAAAATACCAAACCCCTAAAGGAAAGAGGCCTGGATCAACAGATAATGCAATACCAGAAAAAGCCTGCGGAGCATGCAGGTATTGATGGACAACTGCAACCAAACACAACAAATGATGCACCACAGCCAAATGAACTGCAAATCAATAATCAAAGGACTCTTTCGGAAACTACCCATCTCATTTTTAGCCAGAATGAGGAGGCTGCAAACAAAGAAACCAGTTTTGTGTTCTTTTAGCCCATCAGGGCTAAAGACCCTTTAGCCCTGATGGGTCTTTTAGCCTTCCAGGGCTAAAGACCCTACAATTCCTGAGGAGATTTTGAAACTCCCCAACCCAACAACCAGAAGCAAGGGCCACAAAAAAAAAATCCCTTTGAAAAAATTCATGGACCAAAGGGACAACCGAGAATCGAGGAGGCGAAAAAAGCTTGCAAATTGGCACTGGGCCAGCATCGATGCCAAATGCCAACAAAAACAACTTCACCAGAGCCAAACATGTAAAGGTGACAGTATTCATCATAAAATGTCACTCCAAAAATAGCCAAAACAGGGACAGAAACATTGAAACCGAAACTGAGGAAAAATGATTGAGAGAGAGATGAAAAGACGAAAAGAGCACCAACAACCTCATACTGCCACTGTAACAAAAGATGCAGGTGGGATAATAATAGCTACATCACCAGGTGATGACAGACCTTTGTCAGAAGCTCTACGTGCTATGAGTGGAGGAAGGCTGAAACCATCAAGGAAGGTCTCCTGACCGACCCATTGAAAGAAACTGAGCTCAGGAGACACTCGGGTTTGGACACACTGACAGGATCACCGTCAGTTTAAGTTTCCAACCCGGGTAGCATGAGGAGAAACAGTTGAACTGGAGGGAAAAATAAAGAAAACCCTGCCTTGATTAGTCCAGTCAAAAGGCTAAAACTGCATGAGCCATGTGAACTGGGAATGGAGCCACGTAGGATGGAAACCATTTGTCCCAAGCTGACACAAAGAGGGGCCATCTCAGGATGCCCGACCATCTTACAAGACCCACTGGAGGGACATGTCGACAACAGTCCACTCTTGGTAAATAGGGTGGAAAGAAAAGAAACCATTTGCAAAAGCATAGGATATACACTGCACATGAGCCAAGCAGAATAAAACCCCCAAAATCCATGAGACAAGTTACATGCAGAGATCAGCTCTAAACAGGTAAGGACCAATGTGACCCTCCACGGTTCAGACAATGAACCAACAAGGAACAGGTGGAAAAAAAAAAAAAAAAAAAAAACAATTGGAAAACAGAGCCCAGAGAGAAACAAAACTGCCACAGAGCCTGGCACCTGCCACAAAATCATGAACTGCAATTCACATCCAAAGGAGGGGACATGTCCAATAACCCTGAGAAGTTTGGGGAATGCTGACTACAAAGCCCAAAATCATGGTTGAGGTATCTGGATGCACATCAAGAGATGGAGGAGGAAGGCACCACAGAACCAAACCATTAATAATAGAGGAAAAGCCGGCACACTAAAAGCTAGTCGAAGCCCATGCCTCGATGATGCCTCGACAGAGCTCATGCCCAGATGATCCCAGCTGTGGTAAAAAGGATGGTACCAGAGGAACCAGAACACCCCACCCATGGTTGTGTTTGGCTTTTGGCAAACCCCTCACCCAGAACATCCCCCATCCTCAGATCCTCATGGAGGAGTCAAAGACTCCTGCAAGTCACCCTGCACAAGAGGTTGGCCTTTAAGGGACAAACACCCAAACACTCCAGGGATGCAAATATTAAAGATTGGAACAGTACAAAGCAAAATAGGCCCAATAGTGTGCAAAGAATAGCCAACACTTATCTAGGGAAAGTCTAGGACTCAAAGACCTGGCAACTCATTGTAGCTGTTGACAGTAGTTGACATTAGGTGAATGGCTGAAGGCTTGTTGACATGGGAGCCAGAAACTGCAGTGGTGCTGCAACCTGGTGGTGGGCAGTGGTAACTAAAGGGGGGTGTGACCTAATTACAGGACAGAATGTTTACTGTTTTTTTACCTTGCTGCTGTCTATCTTTATTTTCTCATTTCTGGGGGTTGATTTCTTGATGAGGATGATCATGCGTTCCCTGCTCTCTGAGCCTGGGGCCTGAGTTTTGGCCTCTGGTCCCCAGTAGGCTTTTAGTGACTCAAAGTGTTGATTTGTAACAGTGTGGAGCTATTTCAGTGCGGCTAGCAACAAACCACTATTCCAACCTCCAGAAAATCCCAGGACCAAGCATGCCACGTTATGGAGGTAACAGGAAAGGTCATATACATCTTAAAACATTTAGAGACATAATAAAAGCTGCAAATAGCAGAACCAGGTATAGTGTCAGATGGGGAAGCCACAAAAACTTGGCTGAATACACATACCAAGCAATAACCCCATAGGAACAAAGGACGACAGCAAACCAAAACGTCACACAGACAGGAGAGCAGAACACAAGAAAAGTGTCATCAACGCAAACACCGAACCCTGACCTTGAACACTCGGTGAGGAAAGGAGCAACCCTTGATCACCAAGGTCACGTGTGCTCATCAAGCGTGCAATTGGCTAAGGTGCAAGGCTCAATATTCAAGAGGAGCAAGGCCAGCATGATAAGCAGAGCTTTAACGTGGACAAGTAGTCACAATCTCTCCAACATTAATATTTTATTTTTATTTTATTAAGTTAAGAAGTTTGTGTCTCCACATAAACAGCTCCTACAGGGAAAACGAAGTCTCATGCAGTGTTGAGAAGCCTGGGTGACTGGCGAGGAGTGTGCTGGTAAGGGAGGGAGCCCACCTTCCCTCACAACAGGTAGCTCTGCTGGCATGTAAGATACTGTAACCTAAGTCTTAACACATGAGGCAACTCTGAGCCTGGCTCCAAGTGGCTGCTGGATGTGTCTCACAGCCCTGGTGTCCCTTCTCGCTTCCTTCCTCACACAAAAAACACAAATTAAAAAAAATTGTTTTGTATTTAATGATTTGTTTATGTATATATTTAATATAATATAATTTGGAATAATTTATTATATATACCATACTCAAATTGAGTAACCTATCAGTCTAATTAAATTTATTGCATATTTCACTCTTTCTCCATATTTTGTAGTTTGATGACATTGTCCATATTACTTCTCATCGGGAATCATAAAACACACAAATAAATATAGAACACCTCTTGTAAGACAATAGTAAATTACTGCTAAAAATAAAGCCTTTTCACAACCCTATTCCACAAACGATGAAGTTTCTTAAAAGATACATTTAGACATCCCCGTTACACAATAAGATGGGTACACAAGTATGTAATATATCCCATGAACCTACCTGCTTCCTTACACATTAAATACACTTTAGTTCCGAGTCAAACAGTAATCATTATTTATCCCCACAATTTGTTAAGATAAATTGTGTAGCCAGGAGGACTTAACATTTACCATCGCCAAGTAAAGATGAACAAGCAACACCTAAGCTGAATAAATTTGTACTAAAAAAGATCATGGGTGGCTTTCATCTTACATGGTCTAATCTTAATCTAATGTGGCACAAAGATCAAACTGACTGTGATGGTCGCTGGAAATGTCCTGCCATCATGAAACTTTTCAAGAGGTTTGAGATTCTTGAAACACGAGAAACACCACCTTCGAGTGTGGTGGTGTTAGCACGGGGAACACCACCACCGAGTGTGGTATTGTTAGCACTGGGAACACCACCTGCGAGTGTGGTATTGTTAGCACTGGGAACACCACCACCGAGTGTGGTATTGTTAGCACTGGGAACACCACCTGCGAGTGTGGTATTGTTAGCACTGGGAACACCACCTGCGAGTGTGGTCGTGTTAGCACTGGGAACACCACCTGCGAGTGTGGTGGTGTTAGCACTGGGAACACCACCTGCGAGTGTGGTCGTGTTAGCACTGGGAACACCACCTGCGAGTGTGGTCGTGTTAGCACTGGGAACACCACCTGCGAGTGTGGTCGTGTTAGCACTGGGAACACCACCTGCGAGTGTGGTCGTGTTAGCACTGGGAACACCACCTGCGAGTGTGGTCGTGTTAGCACTGGGAACACCACCTGCGAGTGTGGTCGTGTTAGCACTGGGAACACCACCTGCGAGTGTGGTCGTGTTAGCACTGGGAACACCACCTGCGAGTGTGGTCGTGTTAGCACTGGGAACACCACCTGCGAGTGTGGTCGTGTTAGCACTGGGAACACCACCTGCGAGTGTGGTCGTGTTAGCACTGGGAACACCACCTGCGAGTGTGGTCGTGTTAGCACTGGGAACACCACCTGCGAGTGTGGTGGTGTTAGCACTGGGAACACCACCTGCGAGTGTGGTCGTGTTAGCACTGGGAACACCACCTGCGAGTGTGGTCGTGTTAGCACTGGGAACACCACCTGCGAGTGTGGTCGTGTTAGCACTGGGAACACCACCTGCGCGTGTGGTCGTGTTAGCACTGGGAACACCACCTGCGAGTGTGGTGGTGTTAGCACTGGGAACACCACCTGCGAGTGTGGTCGTGTTAGCACTGGGAACACCACCTGCGAGTGTGGTCGTGTTAGCACTGGGAACACCACCTGCGAGTGTGGTCGTGTTAGCACTGGGAACACCACCTGCGAGTGTGGTCGTGTTAGCACTGGGAACACCACCTGCGCGTGTGGTGGTGTTAGCACTGGGAACACCACCTGCGAGTGTGGTCGTGTTAGCACTGGGAACACCACCTGCGCGTGTGGTCGTGTTAGCACTGGGAACACCACCTGCGAGTGTGGTCGTGTTAGCACTGGGAACACCACCTGCGAGTGTGGTCGTGTTAGCACTGGGAACACCACCTGCGCGTGTGGTGGTGTTAGCACTGGGAACACCACCTGCGAGTGTGGTCGTGTTAGCACTGGGAACACCACCTGCGCGTGTGGTGGTGTTAGCACTGGGAACACCACCTGCGAGTGTGGTCGTGTTAGCACTGGGAACACCACCTGCGCGTGTGGTGGTGTTAGCACTGGGAACACCACCTGCGAGTGTGGTCGTGTTAGCACTGGGAACACCACCTGCGCGTGTGGTGGTGTTAGCACTGGGAACACCACCTGCGAGTGTGGTCGTGTTAGCACTGGGAACACCACCTGCGCGTGTGGTGGTGTTAGCACTGGGAACACCACCTGCGCGTGTGGTGGTGTTAGCACTGGGAACACCACCTGCGAGTGTGTTGTTGTCACAACCTCCATGTCTACTATCACAGCACTAAAGTTTCCGCACTCTTCAACCCGTTGTCAAACTGTTCCATCACAATTATAATGCAATCTGCATTTCTAATAACATCATTTATTACCATGGCATAAAAAATCATAAACCATACAATAGCAGATATTCCACATACCTGTATATACATTTTCAACTGGGGAGAAGACCTTTAACTGAGTACGCTGTTTCAATGCCAATGGTAATGAGAACCAAATACAAAAAATAAGAACCGGCTGCAACAAATGCATCAACTCTACTTTGACAAAAATATTTAAGCTACAATTAACCTGGACATCTTGGCCAAAGCCACAAACACATACACACACACAATATAAAAATGAATTTACATTAAATCTCCCAAATGGACATAATAATAAAATCACATAATGAAGACTATAATTTAAATAAATAAAAATATTAAAATAAAACATTCATCACATCCTACAAGATACGTCCAGTTGATTTGTTTACATGCAGCCTGCTGAATATGATAAAAAATAATTTCATCACGAACCATATTTTCTATAATGGTGTCTAGTGATCACAAGAAAGTGCTAAGCCATTATTGCGACATGATGCTATGCAAGTCTCAGATAATTCACAATTTCCTAGAGATCACTCAGGATGCCCACATGAGGGATGCCCACAAGGGATGCCCACACGAGAGATGCCCACATGAGGGATGCCCACAAGAGGGATGCCCACAAGAGGGATGCCCACACGAGGGATGCCCACATGAGGGATGCCCACACAAGGGATGCCCACACGAGGGATGCCCACACGAGGGATGCCCACAAGGGATGCCCACACGAGGGATGCCCACATGAGGGATGCCCACAAGAGGGATGCCCACACAAGGGATGCCCACATGAGGGATGCCCACAAGAGGGATGCCCACACAAGGGATGCCCACACGAGGGATGCCCACACGAGGGATGCACACACGAGGGATGCCCACACAAGGGATGCCCACACAAGGGATGCCCACACAAGGGATGCCCACACGAGGGATAAGTAGGATACACGGCACAAGCTAAACAATACAGTAATTCAGTTGCCTATGGGATGCTTACCCCACAACCTAGACCAAACATTTTCCCTTCTCCCGTCCTCAGCAACATGACTTCCCATAAGACAGCAACTTACTGCCTGAAATTTATTATAATTAAAAGTACTTGAGTAGACAAATCACAGTACAATTATAAATTATATTTTCGTGCACAAAAATAATTTATCGTGACAGGTCCCCTCCAGTGCTTAACTATCATCGTAATGACGCACATCTAAGCAAAATACCATAAACTAAATTTTCTGGAAAAGACCATATTTAAGAAAACCCAAATATTTGTCCCACTAGTGTATGACAATGATGACCAAACCACACATCAGAAGCAGAAGAAATGACGACGTTCCGGTCCATCCAAGACCATTATCAAGTCATATGTTGAATTGATAATGGTCCAGGACGGACCGAAACGTCATCGTTTCTTCCTCTTCTCACGTGCAGTTTGGTTATCATATCTTCAGCTCCGTTATTGTGACTCATAGTCCGCAGTGTATGACACACTTTTGGCCGCATCCTGCATAGGACCTCTTGCAATGATCTCAAGTCGTGAACTAATTAAAACGTAAAGCATAAACTTGGGGAGGTAATTCTTGTGCTGGACTTGTGGTTAAAGCTACCCCTAGCCTCTAAACTAAGAAAATAAATAAATTTGATTTATAATTCAGAAAATCATGAAATAAATAATTAATAGTAGTACTGTATAAATTCATTTTTCATTGTTTTATAATCTAAAACTGTAGCCAATTAAAACATTTATCTGCTCTCCTTTTCATTTAAAAATATACTTAAGCCTATGGAATGTTAAGTGGAAACACAACACTACTTCTTCTAAGGTCAAACCAAATGTCCACATGACGTGCCTGAGACGAGGACGAGAGGCAGCACCTAAAGCTTGTCGTCAATAGGAAGGGTAGTTATACAAGCCTTAAAGTTGTAAATACATGGCAACCATTCTCAGTTATACCTAATTTTAGTCCTTAAAGTAACCCTCTATAAATACAGTACTGAAGTATCTTATGATGAATCAATGCCCTGATATATTTCAAGTGAAATGTATTAAAAATTATGAAAAAAAAAGTTATAGCTGCCAAAGGTAAGGCTTTTTTTTTTTTGCAGAGGCTTTGGGAAAAAATTAATTGCAAATATAAATATTTATCTGAAGCCTCTGATAATGCAGCAGTCACTCCTCTTCTAACTATCAGTTTACTGATACAAGTTCTTTTTTTTCATACACCAATGGAAGCTCTTTAAATTACTGCAATAGCAAAGCCTTTTTTTTTATCACAGAAAACCTCTAAATGGGTTGTCCCCTAAAACATTTTCTCAAAAAGTCCATATGAATTTCCTTTTTAATAAATATTCCTGTCATTACCATGACTCCCTCCAAACACTGGCAAGTAAGAGTAAGAAAAGGTAGATCAGCAACTTAACCAACGATAAGAGTGAATACGAACTCTACTGGTGGAAAGTGTTCTCCTTCATGCCGGCCATGAAGTACGCGGGAGCCTCCAACATCTTCTGGCACGATGGGATCTGGTTCACATGGGGCGGTGCCATGGATTGATGAGGTTCGAGGTAATGGCCGGGAAAGTATATGTCTCCGTTGGGGATGTACGCGTGGGGGGGCTCCTGCATGGTGGTGGCGTGGGCAGGTGGGGGCGGGGGGGTACAGTGAGGGTGAATATGACCCATTGGAGGTGGTGGTGGGGTGTACATGGGTTTGTTTTCCAATTTGTTGTTTTGTTTCTTCTTTGTAGAGCGAGGCTTCTTAATTTTATGAGTATTGTACGTTTCAATATTATGGGTAGGGCTCATTTGGTTGGGAGACTTGATTGGTCTTAGGTGCTTCCCTCGTCGGTCAGGTTCAGGAACCAGAGCACCATCCTAGAAAATAAACATTGAGCACTTAAGAACATAACACAAAACGATAACAATTTTAATGCTTACTATATTTTAACAAGTATTTGTACATTTACACAGCAGTGGCAACACACTCAGCCTTTGCCTTGAGAGTGATTTGGTCTGTGTTCAAGTCCTTGCCAGGGATGACCGACTGGGAGCATAGCCTTCCTGTTCACCCCTGTTTGCCCAACACCAATTGTTTACCTAGTTGTTAACCAATTCACAGGTCGTGTTTCAGAGAAAACCAGTAGGGTAAGGCTTACATTGAGCGATAAGAAGGGAAAGCTCGGCCTGTTAACAGGAATCAGAAGTTGGCTGTTCTTGTATGCACCTGCATAGAAAAAAACAGCAATGAATGTAATGAATGTTTCTTTCTGGTACAGCCTCAGTGGTTCCCTAAAACTATCTCACTGAGATGAGGAAAGCAAAAGCCAAAGGTGAAAGAAAGCTTAAGACAACTTGTGAAACAGTGCCAAGGAAATATCGATGCCAAACACTAGTAAGAGCAGCTCCACCAAAGCCGAGTGATAAGACGTGGCGGTGGCAGTATTGGGCATGAGATGCTGATCAAAAAATAACCGGGACAAAAAAGGGACAGAACTACTGGAAGAAATGCCAATGAAAAATGATGCAAACACACAATGTGGCAAAAGGAGCACCAGGAAACTTCATACTGTTGCCATGATGAAAGATACTTGTAGGCGGGACACCACCTACAATTCAGTCACCCATGCACCATAAATAGTGGTAAACACCAGTTAAAAAAAAAATGAAATATCCAGATGTGTAGGTCGGTGGAGAAGTCAAACCAGCAATGTATTTTGTCAGGCTGATCCGCTGAAAGAGGCAGACCCATGTATAAATGCCCAGGTTCACACACCATGCCCGAAGAGCTGAAAACCATGGCTGAGCCGGCCACCAAGGAGCCAGAAGAATACCTTCTCCAGGTTGCAGACACACACGAGGCAACGTCCAGAGTAACAACTAAATCGGGTGAAGAGATAGAGGAACCTCCACCTCAATCAGGCCAGTAGAAAGGCATCTATTATCCGAGCCTTATGATCTGGGAATGGAGCCACGTAAGAGGGAAGCTGATAGTTTCAAACTGATGCCGAAAGGTCCACCTTAGGGGAAACCAAACATCTCTCAAAGCCAGCAGAAGGACTAGTCATTGATGGTCTACTTTGTGGAAATGGGATGGAACCAAGATAAACCATCTGCGAGAATGGCAGACAAACACACACAAGCTGTGCAGAGAATCAAACCCCAAGAATCCAGGAGCCAAGCTACACAAGAGTCCAGCTCCAGATAAAGAAGATCTGAAAGCAATCCTCCAGCAGCTCAGGGAATGAACCACTGGGAGAGCAGTTACAATGAAGCAGAGCCACAGGAGGGGGGGGGGGGGAAAGAGACACGACCAGTTATCCCAAACTAGGCCCAACCAGGCCTGAACCTCAGACGGAACCAACTAGAACTTGAGTGAGCATTCCAATACCAAACTACTATGGTCTGCCACTAGGATATTGAGTGAGGAAACGTATCCCTGATCTGTCATTACTCGGGGACACAAAAGGTGTGCTACAACAGCTTCTCTGTGCAATAACAATAGTTAGGGAGGGGTAATGATTACATGGAAAGCAATGTTTACAGAGAGTGAAATGTTTACAGGGAGTGTATTGAGCCCAAGAAATGCAATGAAAATCAGGTACAGTTATTTAGTAATAATAGCAACTGAGACCTGAACATGTCTGGATTTCGAGTACTACTGGAGCATAATGAGAGAAAACAGAAGCATAACACAACTAACCTTCATCTGATGAAAGAGAGTTCGAAGCCTTTTATCACTCGTCAGTCCATGGGAGCTCATAAAGGCCCTCTTGCAGACTCGAAGATGCTTGCCGCTGATGCGAACAAAATATTCAAACGTATTCTGCCGTCGTGATTCTTCTGCAGGCTGGGGACATAAAATGAGAGATACAATTGTTTGTAGGAAGCATAGTTTCAAGAACGTTTATATATTTCAGGTTCCATACAATTTCTATTATACTATATTAGGTAAAGTCATCATAATTGCTATAAATGATCAGAAACACATGCAGGGGAGAAACGTCGGTGACTGTTAGCAGAGTAGCAGGATGGCCAGACCATAATGTGCCCCACAGGCAAAAACCCCCCTAACCCAACCCTTTCAGGTAAACCCTTTGGTTTACCTGAAAGGACCATGCCGAACATGAAGACCTCGCACCCCCCCCCAAATGGGAGTGTCCCTAACCCTGACTGTGCAAGGGCAGCACTTAAGGAGCACACAGTTAAGATAATCCTGACTGTGCAAGAGAAGCACTTAAGGAGCACACAGTTAAGATAATCCTGACTGTGCAAGAGAAGCACTTAAGGAGCACACAGTTAAGATAACCCTGACTGTGCAAGAGAAGCACTTAAGGAGCACACAGTTAAGATAACCCTGACTGTGCAAGGGCAGCACTTAAGGAGCACACAGTTAAGATAATCCTGACTGTGCAAGAGAAGCACTTAAGGAGCACACAGTTAAGATAATCCTGACTGTGCAAGGGCAGCACTTAAGGAGCACACAGTTAAGATAATCCTGACTGTGCAAGAGAAGCACTTAAGGAGCACACAGTTAAGATAACCCTGACTGTGCAAGAGAAGCACTTAAGGAGCACACAGTTAAGATAACCCTGACTGTGCAAGAGAAGCACTTAAGGAGCACACAGGGAAGATAACCCTGACTGTGCAAGAGAAGCACTTAAGGAGCACACAGGGAAGATAACCCTGACTGTGCAAGAGAAGCACTTAAGGAGCACACAGGGAAGATAACCCTGACTGTGCAAGAGAAGCACTTAACACTTTCGCGCTATCTGGACGCGCCGGCGCGTTCGGTTTCGTCTAACGTAAACGCATAGTGGACATAAAGTTATGTCTACTTTTTAAATATTTGTATAAAATTCAATTTTTATCCGATTTACTTTGGGTTTGTTTCAAACTGCGCGCTATGAGGCTCTCTTTCTCACCACTAGGCTGCATGGTACAATAAGTTCATGAAAGGTGTGGATAACTTCGATCAAAATGTATTTTGTCCCAAACGGGTTGCAGGTGGGTGACTTTAGCCGTTTATACTGGTAATTCTTCCCCCATATCATGTATTATATGCATATGTCTGTTTATGGAATTTTATTCCGATCAATATACAACCAAAAATAACTGTGTGCAACAAGTATAATCTTGACAAACATAACAAAAGTAAAAATATTTCGTGTGTGTTTGACGCTCACTGATATGTTCCAGCGTTGTTTTATATTTGTCGCTATTCTAACTTACGCTTTGTTGATATTTTTTACCTATGGGCACATAGAACATTCTATTGCGAACACATTGACATAAAAATGAATGACGTACATAGAAAATTAATGTCATGAGAGTGAAATAAGTATAAACTTTCAAAGCGCCGTGCGTCGTCCCGTCACCGATACCGGGTAACAATTTCACCACTTCCCACACTCTTGCGGGCGGGCTGCATCATTATTCTACGCTTATATTCATATCACCGTGTTGGGAATTTCATTGCGAGTCCATTGATACCAAAATTAACGCTGTAGAACAAGTGTGGAGGTGATTACAATCCCAAGAGTAAAAACATTTTGTTGCTGATGGGCACTCACGGCGAGTCATCTTCGTAGTTATTTATTTGGTGCTGGTATCCCTATATGTTTCGTGTCTTATTTTACTAATGTTCTTCTAGAGAATTTTATTGCGAACACGTTGGTACCAAAATGAAATACGTAGCATGAGAACTAAGGTCAGAAGAGTAAAAAGAGTATTCACATTTTTGTTTTTACGCTTAACCCTTAAAGTGCGCATCACTTCATATGAAGTGTAAATCGTTTTACCAGTCAACTGCGCTTCACTTCATATGAAGTGTATGGGTACCGCGCACGATTTGAATGGCCCGCGGTGTAGCTGGGGGTCCCATACGCTGCCCAGGGGCTCTAGTAAACAGCGGCCATTTTGAAAAAAAATCCAGCTCACGCTCCGATGGCATGGGAGGCCTCAGTTTAGCGAGAGTCACCATGGCGAGCGCACGGTCAAACGCCTCACAAGCACGCATCACTCAGTCCCTCACCCCAGAGCAAATAGCCCACGAATTATTCTCTGAAGGTGAAGAAAGTGTGTTTGACGATTCAGACAACGATGAGGATTATACACAGTTGTCGGGAGATAGTAGCAGCAGCAGTGAAAGTGAGAATGACCGCCATGCCATGGCGAGGCCTATACGCTCTCCCATGCCTCCTCGCCCATTTTCTACCCCAATTCTACCACGACCTCACAGTTCCTGTGAATATTTTCTGTTTGAGGGTGACGAGTCAGAGGGAGGTGACTCCTTTTCTGGGTTTAGTGACTCAGATCAAAGTTTTATTGAGCCTGTGGCTGGTACCAGTGGTGTAACTGGGCGAGAAATTGTCGCGTCAGCAGCATCTCGCCCAGCCAAGCGCCACCGCATGGCACCACATGAGGGACCAAGACCCTCGTGTTCACGTGCACCCACCTCACGTGCACGTAGCCGCCGTGCTTCTCGCAGACGGTATTCAGCTCCTGGTCGCCGGTATGCATCGCTTCCTCGCCGTCTTTCCTCTGCATCTCGCAGGACGCCTGGTGTACTTGAGTGGAGTGATGGTGACGATTTTATTCCTAATATTCCTCACTTTGACGATAAAGATGTAGGGATTACAAACCTTTTCCCTAATCAAGGTGAGGACATGGCTGAGATGGAATATTTTACAGCATTCTATGATGAACCACTCATGGAATACATTGTACACCAAACGAACCTGCATGCTGCTTACCTGATTGAGAGGGAAATCACAGAATTTTCACGACTGCAGCGTTGGAAAAATACCACAGTGGCGGAAATGTATGTGTTTTTGGCACTCTGTTTGTTGATGAAGCACTGTCACAAACATGCAATAAATGACTATTGGAGCAAGGACAAGACAATACCAACACCTTTATTCGGGAAATATATGTCACGAGACAGGTTTCAGATACTCCTCAGGTGTCTACATTTTGGAAGTGTTCAGGACCGAACACCTGATGATAGACTGTGGCGAGTGAGGCACTACATGAACGATGTTATTGGAAAATTCAGAGATTTTTACGTACCAGCACAGAAGCTGGTGGTTGATGAATCTCTCATACTTTTCAAGGGACGTGTTCCATTCAAACAGTACATTCCCTCAAAACGAAACCGATTTGGCCTGAAATTTTTTGTTCTTTGTGATTGTGAGACAGGATACGTGTTACACATGATTCTGTACTCGGCTAGTGATGTAGACATTCCAGGTAACGACGAACATGGATTCTCGGGGAGTGTAGTGAAGACCATCATGGCTCCGTGGATGAACAAAGGACACATTTTATACACAGATAATTACTATACAAGTCCCTTGCTAGCTCGGTTCTTGCTAGAAAATAGAACCGGATTGGTTGGTACAGTAAAGCCACAACGAAGGGAAATGCCTGTGTTTGACAACGACATTGCAGTTGGTGAGTGTCAGAGAAGGAAAAGTGATAACATTCTGTCAGTTCGGTGGAAAGACAAAAGAGAGGTGAACTTGTTGACAACAATTCATGATGGAACAATGGTGAACAGTGGGAAAGTGAGCCATAAAACAAACGCACCACTATATAAGCCAGACTGTGTTTTAGACTATAATATCAACATGCGGTTGATTGATAAATCAGACATGATGATTGGCACTGCAGAGTGTGTGCGGAAGACATGTAGGTGGACGAAAAAAGTGTTCTTCCATCTTGTGGACATGAGCATGCTGAACTGTTTCAACATGTACCTTGTGAGAACTGGACGTAAGCCCACTTTCCGTGACTTTGTATTCGATGCTGCAATACAGTTATTAGGAAAGTTTGCAAAAGATGTCCCAGGTATTCAGCGGCCCATCATAAACCCACTGTTGCAGCATGCTGGTACTCCACGCCTCGCTCACACTGAAGGCTTCCTAGCACACAAACTTAAGTATTTGCCACCTGGTGTGAAGCGTGCAATAGCCCAACGTGATTGCTTGGTGTGTAAAACAACGACACGTAGAGACAAGAAACGGAAGCTTGTGCAAACATGGTGTGAAACGTGTGGTATCCCATTATGTGCTGTCGACTGCTTCAATGACTACCACAGTCTAGAAATCTTCTAAGTGTGCTTCAAAGTGTGTATAGCGTGTGCGAGTGTGTAAATATGTAAACATATAAGCAGAACATATAATATAATAGACTGTAATGACATATTATATTGCCGTAATTGAAAACATTTGTGTGCGCCTGTGTATACTCAAATATGCAACAATTATTGATACAAAATATGTTCAAACAGTATTTGAAACACAATTAGTGAAAAAAAATTAGATAAAATGCGCTTAGACATTGTAAATAAATAGCGCGAAAATATATTTGTGGCAACTCTGGCTGTTTGAGGACCGCGCGCAACATCTCCTGGGCGTGTACTGCATGAGCGAACATGCAGATTGTGACGTCATCGCAGAGCTTCTCGGCTCTATTGCAACAAAAGTAAGTACAATAGAATTTTTTTTTTATTTTTCCCGTGATCAGTGAACAGAACTTAACAGATTAGCAAAAAAAAAAAATTTTTTTTTTTTTCAAAATGACATGCGCCTGTGTGGATAGCAGGATATTAGACCCCGAGCATGTTAAGGGTTAAGCGATAAAAACGCAGCGCGAACATTCGGTTGGCTGAGTGACCTTTGCGGAGAGCGCGAAAGTGTTAAGGAGCACACAGTTAAGATAATCCTGACTGTGCAAGGGCAGCACTTAAGGAGCACACAGGGAAGATAACCCTGACTGTGCAAGGGCAGCACTTAAGGAGCACACAGGGAAGATAACCCTGACTGTGCAAGGGCAGCACTTAAGGAG